GTGTAGGTGTGTGGATACCATGGCCAGGGCCATGAAACCATTTTCTTCTTTGTGAACGCATCCTATCTTCTTTCGGCGCATCCCCTGTCTTCCCCGCGTTCGCGCACATGCCTCGAGCCAAGATGTTGTGCTCAACGCCTTCGTTCTCGCCCCCCTCGTCGGCACGCAACCGAGTCTTCGCGCAGCCGATCCGCGTCGGCTTCGACTCCGCGCCGATGGCAGACGACCAATTGCGAGTCCTACTCCGAGTTTATTTCAGAAGTGTTGGGGGGGGGCGTCACCTCCGCCGACAGCCCCACATCGACCCCCGCCGTGTGCAGCCACCGCGCGCCGAAGGCGCTCCGACCCCCGTCGCGGCGCGACGACGCCTCACGCTTTTCAAGAAACCCAGGGTGGCCTGCGGGTCCAAGCGACGCTGTCGTGTGTTCGGACACCCCCGCTGGGGCTCATCTGGCTGCAGACATCCTCCAGGTTCTGGAAGCACGCTGACATTTCAGGAGTCTGACCTGCCGGGGCAAGGTTTCATGCGAGTGCCCAGACGCCGCCCCAGATCCGACGCACTTTGCGATTCGATCCGACAACCCGCCTCAGTGTTGACTCATCCCGCGGAGGGAGATGGATGGTGGGAGGAGAAGGCGGCAGCGGTGAAAGAGGCAAGAGGGGAGGAGGGGGGTCGGGCGGAGAACCACGGGGGGGAGATAGACGTAGGGGAAAGGATGCGTCTTAGCTGTCGAGCACCCAGTCGGTGGCGGGGTGGCCCTTCAGGGCCGTTTCTCTTCGCCCCCATTGTTCGCCCCCTCGCAGATTGCCCCCACATCAACGTACACCCGAGTTAGATTCGGAGAGGCGTGGAGACCTGGCCAAGCCAGGTCACTGGTGAGCACATCCTTCTTGCGAGAAGGGGACGCCAGACTTGGGAATGAGGCCCCTGGACTAATGACTGAGCACCTCGGCCCCCGCCTTGGTGGGTTTACGAGGCGGACATTCTTTGCTCAAGTCGCGCACATTCACCGTTGCAACACGCCAGCAGCTTCGACAACACGACGCTGCGAGTCACAGATAACGTGTGTGTGTGTGTGTGTTTGTGTGTGGACTGTGCACGTCCGGATACAACGCACGTTGCAAAGGATCGTCTCTGGCATGTACGCGTGCTCCACAACAAGTGATGCCTGCTTTCACCACAAGTTGGAGGGGGAAGGAGGTGGAGGATGGGGAGGAGGAAGAAGTACAGGAGGAGGAGCAACCCCTCCCTTCTGCTTATGGTGATGGCGGTGGAAAACAAGCCTACCAGCAAGGGCCTGGTCACGAGTGCACGCGAGGTTCTCTGGTCGAGACGCTACGCTGGTACATATGAGGCATCGAAAAGTATCGCCCCGCCTCCTGGGCTCGTGTCCTCGCGCCCGCAGCCGTTACAGTGGGGGCCCATGCCACGAAACACCCTGTTTGCCTCCAGGGCGTGACGAGGAGGAGGACGAGAAGGAGGAGGAGTTGGAGGACGAGGAGGAAGAGGAGAAGGAGGAGGAGGAGGACAAAGAGCGACTGTCAGACGCCGTCAAGGTGGTCAAGGACAGTCAGACGCCGGTCAGCGGGCGATGGAGAGCGTGACGTTCCCACACCAAAACTCTATGGTCTTTCTGGGGTCTCAGGGTTGAGTTTTCTCGTAGACGGCCCCAACTGTATTGTCGGTCGGGTGGCGAGGGAAGACAGAGCACGCGGGCGCGGGGCGGGCCTCTCCATCCTGGTGGCGGCAGTCTTGAGGCAGCACCTGGAGACCTCCATGCTGATCGCCAGCAGGCGACAAAAAGGCGCTATGAGTTTGGGCATCTACATGCGGGAAAGCCTTAACGTGGCCTCTGGGCCGCCGCAACTTTCTTAACCGCTTGAAATCCCAAAGCGCTCCTGAGTTTCCAAGGACGCGTGACATGTAGTCCACAACATTGTGACCAGACCCGCACCCCGACCATCGATCTCACCCTAGATCTGGATCCAGAGATCAGCCATCGCCGTCGAGCTGCTTATCTAAGTTCGTGGATGATGCATAGCATGGGCGAGCGGCAGCAGATCAGTATAGACGACGATATCACCTCCTGTTTTGTCGAAGGAGCATGGAAAAAACACACAGTTCAGCACGGGGGCTGCTCTGGGCATCCATCGGGAGGGAACCACACATCACCGCGCCCAATCGAAACTCAGATTCATCATCATATTTAGGTTCATCACTGCTCTGTCGACGTAGGAGCCTGCCAGTAGCCTAAGCACATCGGTGAAAACAAACATCTTTAGCTTGAGGACCTCCAGATCCATCGAGGCTCCATTTCCCACCGTGAACCCGTTTCTCGTGCACGAACCGGCCCGACCCCCAGGCCACCGACTGGGGAGCAGGAACAAGCCCAGCAGTATCCCGAGAACTCGGAAGCCCACGGTTCCAGAAGGCGGAGCTTGGGTCGGCGGCAAGAGCTTCTTGTTTCAAATCGTTGGTGGTGGGGGCGGCAGCGTTCTCCATGTAGTCATTATTCGGGCTGGGGAGTCTCAACCTCGACGGCACAACGTTGGCATCTCCCGTTTGCAAGTCAGCCCGGGTCATCCTGGCGAGCCTCCGGCCAGCGAGCACCGACAAGCACAGTGACCAGCACGGCTGCATGCTGGCAATCCAGCACTCTCAAGAGAGACTGATGCAGGCGACGGAATGCTGGTAAGGTCGGGAACATCCTGCGCTCCTTGGGCGCAGTAGTGCTCGGCAGCCTTAGACCATACCTGGGCTGAGACGGTGACACACTACGCCCGAGGGGGCAGGAGGAGGCCAGGGAATGGGGAGGAATGGAGGGAAGGGAAGGGCAGGGAAGGGGAGGAAAGGGGAGGAAGGGAGGGAAGCGAACAGCGGGGAGGGAAGGGGAGGATGGGAGTGGGGGGAGGGAAGGGGGGGAGGGGGGGGGGACAGGGAATGCGGAGGAGTGGAGGGGGATGGGAGGGGAGGGCGGGACGGAGGGCGGCGGCGGAGGCGTGTGGTTTGGGAAGGGTTCCCTCCGCCCCCGGGTAGAGTCGTGGCAATGGTCTACAGAGCCACGGAGCCGTGGGTACTATCTATATCTATATAGAGATGTGTGTAGACATGTATTCATATATGTATATCTCTGTATAATTACATATATATATATATATTCATATTCGTATGGGTAATAGCTATCTGTATATTCATGTACCCATATATGTATATCTCTGTACATATATATATATATGTATGCGTACGCATATCTCAGCCAGGGAATGGGATCCACAAAGCTTCCACGCCCAAACATGGGATCCGGAGACTGGATCAACGGGATCTGCGAGGCTCCTGGCACACGCGTATTGGGGTCCAATGGGGTCCTTTGTATGTCATGCAAGAGGGTCCGTTGTATGCCATACACTGTTAGCTTGCTTGGCCCCCTCCCCCAGCAGTGCGTCCTGGCACTAGGTGATACAATCTACGCAGTGCCGTCTATGTGATGTGAGCTATGTGGCGGAAGCTATTTGTTTCAAGCTACGCATCACAACATATGTGGTGTGAGCTTTGTTGTGCAACCTATGTCGTGTAAGCCATGTAACACAATCGACATTGTGCAATCTACGCAGTGCCATCTATGTGGGGCGAACTGCTACTCGTTCAATCTATGCAGTGCAATATAGGTGGTGCGAGCTCTGTGGTGCAAGCTATGTGGTGCGATCTATGTGGTGCAAACCATGCAGTGTAATCCATGCGGTGCGAGCGATGTGGTGTAAGCTATGTGGTGCGGCGACGGTGAGCTATGTGGTGTAAGCTATGCTGTGCTGCGACGGTGGCCGCGAATTGGCATGGCGTCGGCTGCCAGCAGTATTGCCGTTCGAGAAGCACAGCAAAGCGCGATGCCCCTTCTTCTGTCGCTATTCTCGCACGTCCCCACCAGTTATCGTCTCCTCTTGCACTCCCAGACTACCTCTACCCCTGGTGCTTACGGAGGACCCTTTGCGATTCTAGGAGCTCATCAGACGGGGCTGGGACGGACGCACGCGTGCTGGTGTCCCAAAGAGGGGCCGTAGAGAAATGAAGAGTTGCGCGCACGGGCTTACGAAATATGCGAGACGGGTCTGCTACGGGCAGGAGATTACCTGACGGATGCCCCAGGGATGGTTTGGGTCTCGCGGGGCGCATGCGCCCCCCCACAGAGCAGATGTTGCGCATGTCCCATATCCGTTGTGGCCGTGCACTGTCAGAGTCTATGTCTATGTCTGTCTGCGCACATGGCAACACGTCCGCCCTCCACCCCTTCTGTCTGAACCAATGCACCGTGCACACGGGGTCCCCCAAAAATCAGCCAGATGCCCCCAGTCCCACTCCAGAGCGTTGGCGCCGCGTGCCGCCTGGACGCGCGGCGTCGGCACTGGCGACCACATGTGGAGTATTATCGCTCGGTACGTTACTGTGTGTGCGTCTCTGTGTCTGTTTGTCCGTCTGTGTATGTGTTTGTTCTTGTGATTGTGTTTGTTTTTGTTGGTCTTGTTTGTGCTTGTGTTAGTGTTTGTGTTTGTGTGTGTGTGGTTGTGTGTATCGGGAGTGCGGGCGGGTGAGCATGTCCGAGCCAGATTGTGGACAGCCTTCGCCCGCCATTTCCCCTCCCCCCCTCCTCCCTCCTCCCACTTGACCTCCTCCTTGACCTCCTCCTCCTTGACCTCCTCCTCCTTGACCTCCTCCTCCTAATCCTGAATCCCTTCTTGACATGCTCCTCCTAATCCTCCTCCCCATGCCCTCCTCCCTCGTGCCCTCTTCCACTCCTCCACGCCCTCCTCGTCCGCCTCCTCCCCCTTCCCTGACCCTCCCTCCGCCCCCCCTCCTCCCCTCCCCCCCTCTGCTTTGGCCCAGCCTGGCGCCCCGCAGCCCCCCTCCCCGCCGAGGCACGCGCGCTGGCGCCGCACGCGCCGCCGGCGTGGCCGCAGGGCATCCCGAAGCAGCCACCGCAGTGGGGCATGCCGGAGAAGCCCGCGCAATGGGGCGCTCGGGCGTTGCGAAAGGGTGGGGGGCGATATATAATTTGGGGAGCGAAGAATCAGGCATAGCCAAGACCTTAGTGGGCCCTGGAGACGACAGGGCCGTTTTTTACTGGTTCCGTTTTGCCGTTTGCTTGCCAGTTCCGGCGCCGTTCTTTTACCGGTTCCGTCGCTGTTTTTTGACCGGCTCCAGCTCCGGTTCCAATCCTGGAGCCGTTTTTTGCCGTTTCCGGTCGCCGTTTTTTTTGCCGTTTCCATTTTCAAGGGACATTTTTGGGGAAACGGTGAAAAAACGGCCCTGCCGTTTCCGGGGCCCATAAAGGCCAGGACCCCAGGTAAGGGGACCCGGTTCGTAGTGGGGCCCCGCAGCCCCTAAATTTGCCAGAATCACTAAACCACGTTTGCCGTAGCTGGTGTTTTTTCGGGTGACGGCAGTTCCGATTAGTGGAACGGGGCGGGGGGGGCGTCTCCCAGTACACATCACTAAACCAGGTCCCACCAGACCCAGCCCTGTCAACGCCCGAAAGAATGGTTCATCTGTCGTGCACCGCGGGGGCCCCAAAGGGGCGCCCTGAGCCCCCAACAGGCGCGCAGAGAAGGCGCACGCTTCTTCGCCCCCCCCCTGCTGCGGCCCCCCGTCAAGGCGGCGCCCAAGGCACGCTCGAGAAGCCCCCGCAGTGGATGCCCTTCCGCAGCGCCGGGAGCGCCGCCCCTCCTGGATGGGGCCGTAGTGGAAGAGGAGCAGGGGCAGGCTAGCCCACGCAGTGGCCCAGGAATTATCAACGAGCTCGGCTTCTCTGTTCGGCAGCCAGAGGAAATCGGGGGCAACGATAGGGGGGATAAGGCATCGGATGGGATGCATCGACCCCCAATCGCCCATGGATCGCCGATCGGGTCCCGATAGCCATAATCTGCCCAGGATGGTGCGGACTCGCTATCGGGATCCCATCGCCGATCTATCGGCGATGTATCGCCCATTCCAGGTCGATGCATCCCCCCTACGCCGGTCCCCCCCGATCGTTGCCGCCCAGGAAAGCGTCACGCTTCCGACACGGGGTCCGGGGCGGAAGCGGTAGGCCCCGCAGAGGCCCGCGAGCCCGCGACCTCCCAATTTTCCCTGGATTCCTCCGGAGTTCCTTTTTGGGTTTCTGTTGGCGTTCGTCTGGGATTTCTTGGGGCAGGAATGGTGATTTCTTTGAGCTTTGCATGCTATGTGCTGGCATTGACGGGAGGGCGCCGCCAAAAAGGACAAATTGTTCCCAACCATCCTGTGGTGTTGGGTCCTCGTTTTGAAGAGACGGTGCCCCGCGTCTCCTTCCTCCTCCTCTCCTCCTCCGCCTCCTCTCCCCTCCTATCATCCTCATCGTCATCATCATCGTCATCATCATCATTATCATCATCATCATCATCATTATCATCATCATTCCTCTCCTCTCCTCTCCTCTTCTCTCCTCTCCTCTCCTCTCCCCCTCTCCTCTCCTCCTCTCCTCTTCACCCACCCAGTACACCGCTTCGTGGCCCCATAGGGAGCTCCACCGAAGGCCCCAGTGCCCGCGCCCGCATGCGTCACCCACACCCATTTCGGCACACCCCTCACACGTTTCGTGGCTCCATAGGGAGCTCCACCGAAGGCCCCAGTGCCCGCGCCCGCATGCGTCACCCACACCCATTTCGGCACACCCCTCACACGTTTCGTGGCTCCATAGGGAGCTCCACCGAAGGCCCCAGTGCCCGCGCCCGCATGCGTCACCACACCCATTTCGGCACACCCCTCACACGTTTCGTGGCCCCATAGGGAGCTCCACCGAAGGCCCCAGTGCCGCATGCGCGCACCCATTTCCACACCCACACCCCTCACACCAGCTCACATGCGTCACACCCATTTCGGCACACCCCTCACACGCTTCGTGGCCATAGGGAGCTCCACCGAAGGCCCCAGTGCCCGCGCCCGCATGCGTCACCCACACCCATTTCGGCACACCCCTCACACGTTTCGTGGCTCCATAGGGAGCTCCACCGAAGGCCCCAGTGCCCGCGCCCGCATGCGTCACCCACACCCATTTCGGCACACCCCTCACACGTTTCGTGGCTCCATAGGGAGCTCCACCGAAGGCCCCAGTGCCCGCGCCCGCATGCGTCACCCACACCCATTTCGGCACACCCCTCACACGTTTCGTGGCTCCATAGGGAGCTCCACCGAAGGCCCCAGTGCCCGCGGCCGCATGCGTCCCCCACACCCATTTCGGCACACCCCTCACACGTTTCGTGGCTCCATAGGGAGCTCCACCGAAGGCCCCAGTGCCCGCGGCCGCATGCGTCACCCACACCCATTTCGGCACACCCCTCACACGTTTCGTGGCCCCATAGGGAGCTCCGCCGAAGGCCCCAGTGCCCGCGCCCGCATGCGTCAGCCACACACATTTCGGCACGCCCCTCACGCGTTCCGTGGCCCCATAGGGAGCTCCGCCGAAGGTCCCAGTGGGTGTGCCCGCATGCGTCCCGCACACCCATTTCGGCACACCCCTCACACGTTTCGTGGCCCCATAGGGAGCTCCACCGAAGGCCCCAGTGGGTGTGCCCGCATGCGTCCCGCACACCCATTTCGGCACACCCCTCGTACGTTTCGTGGCCCCGTAGGGGGCTCCACCGAGAAGATATTCACAATTGCAGTATTCACAATTGCATATGGTTGGGTCCTTCGCCAGGATATTTTTTTTTGGTGCTAACATATCGCCAGGGGGGTGTACTGTTTGCGTCCTAGGGTTCGGCGTATGTCTTCGACTGTTGACGGTAGTTTTCGGCAGTTTGAGATCGAATCCGAGGCCCGAGTTGGTTTCCATCAGCTGAGCTTCTCGGCGGCGAGCCCAGGGGGGAAGTGAGAGGGGGCAGGCCTTCTCAGAAGTTGGCGGGGCTTCTCAGAAGCCCTCCGGCCTTTTGAGAAGCCGCCTCTGTCTGTGGAGACGGTTCAGGAAACGTTTTCAGAAGGTGCGAGGGTTTCGGAGAAGCCCCGTCTCTCATTATGTATTTCCCCCAACCGTTCGCCACCGAGCGTCGTAAGAGGCGTTTTGCGGGTGCCCGGATGTTTCCGAACGGTCTTTGCAGAGCCGAGGTATGAACCGAAAACCACAGGGCAACGTTAGATGGGGTGCATGGACCCCCGATCGCTCATTCATCGCCGAAAGGGGCCCGATAGCCCACCCCGCCCAGTTGCCTGCAGCTTCTTCATCGGGCGACTATCGCCACTCTATCGGCGACATTCTGCCGATTCCAGGTCGACGTTTCCCCGCCTGAGCCCTCTTGTATGATGTTCCAACCTACTTTGGCCTTGAACACCAGAGAGAATCTCGAGCACCAAGAGAGTACCGAAACTCGAGGGTTTTCACGTGTCGGGCAACGGGAGGCAAGATTCGTTCGACGTGGTGTTCCATACTTGTCTGGGTGCTCGAAGTGATTTCTGGGATCAGACCCTCGAGTACAGCCGGACCGAGGTATAAGATCGAGGTCGGTTCGGGGAGAGTACCCTCGTGTTCTTCGTGTTTGTTGGATGTTCTTGTGCACCCTGGTCAGGATGCCCTTAGATGCTCTGTCTGTTTTGGCCAGCGGAGGGTCTCATGTTCTTGAGGGGTGTTCTTCTGGCCTAGGTCTGTCTGTACGATGGGAGCAACATGACCGCGCGCTGACTCCGGAAAGGGAGTTGTGACAGGGGTGGTCACAGCATCCGCGGCACGCAGCCGGTTCCAGCTCCGCCGCCGGGCGCGTTCCTCGATGCCGATGCGCGCTGCCATCCACGCTGGGGCAACCAGCCACACAGGAGCGGATTCGTTGGACCCCCCCCCCCTTTTACTCGGGCCGGACGAAAGGGGGGGATTGGGAAAGGGGGGGTACGAAATCTGCTGCATGCAGCTGGTTTCGGCCCCACCGAGGGGCCCATTCCTCGATACGTAGCCGTCTCCGGCGCCGGGAGGCGACAGGAAAATCAGCTACGTGAGCTGATTCTCAAACCCCCCCTTTGCTATCGCCCTTTCGCCCGGCCCGATTTACAGTGGGGGCCCGTGCCAAGAAACACCCTGCTCGCCTCCAGGGTGCCCTGGGTTGCCTGTGGACTGGCCCCCCTTGTGGGTTGGGCTGCTTGTGGAAGGTTTCCCGTGGACTGGCCCCCCTTGTACTGCCCATGCCCCTTTCTTCGTTCGGCCCGAGAGAACGAGGAGGGGTACAGCCAGACTGGCCCAGGCCGGGTCGTTCCAGAGAGACTTGGTGATGCGTCTGCCCCCATGGTCCTCCAGAGGCCTCTGAAGGATCAGAACACCACCATATCTTCGAACAAGCATTTCGGCTTGATGATGATCATAGTGATGCTAGCGATGATGATCATGATCATGATCATGCTGATGTGTATGATGATCATGACGATGTTCATGATGAACATGATCATGATCACGATCATGATGATGATGATGATGATGATGATGCTGATGCTGATGCTGATGCTGATGCTGATGCTGCTGATGATGATGATGGTTATGGTGATGGTGATGATGGTGATGGTGATGGTGATGGTGATAGTGATGGTGATAGTGATGGTGATGATGATGATGATGATGATGATGATGCTGATGCTGCTGATGATGGTGGTGTTGGTGTTGGTGTGCTGGTGTTGATGATTGTGGTGTTGATGGTGATGATGCTGATGTTGCCGCTGCTGATGATCATAGTGATGATGATGATGATGATGATGATGATGATGTTGATGCTGATGCTGTTGTTGATGATGCTGATGGTGATGGTGATGATGCTGATGAGACTGACAATGGTGATGATCATGGTGATGATGCCTATGACATGACGACGATGATGATGGTGATGTTGTTGTTGTTGTTGATGATGATGATGATGATGATGAACCGATGCTGATGTTTATGCTGATGCTGGTGCTGATGCTGTTGCTGATGCTGCTGCTGCTGCTGCTGCTGCTGATGATGATGATGATGATGATGATGATGATGATGCTGATGTTGTTGATGCTGGTGCTGATGATGACGAGGAGGAGAATGAGGAGGGGGAGGAGGAGGAGGAGGAGGAGGAGGAGGAGGAGGAGGAGGAGGAGGAGGGGGAGGAGGAGGAGGAGGAGGAGGAGGAGGAGGAGGAGGACGATTATGATGGAAGCAGCAGCAGCAGGAGCAGCAGCGAGAGAGCAGCTGGAGAAGCAGCGAGAGAGAGAGAGAGAGAGCAGCAACAGGAGGAGCAGCAGCGAGGGAGGACTGGAGGGAGGGAGGGAGGGAGGGAGAGAGAGAGAGAGAGAGAGCAACACGAGCAGCAGGAGGACCAGCAGCAGGAGCAGCAGGAGGTGCAGCGAGAAGCGCCCTTCTCTTGCGCGAGGCAGCCGACGGCGGAGCCCCCGTCGCCACCTCCGCCCGCCCCCGTGGCCACCGCAGCGCCGCGCAGCCGGGTGCCCCCCCTCCCTATGGCAGGTAGGATCCACTCTTACTCGGCCAGTCCGACCCGATTGGAAGAGGGGAGCCGGCCTGAACAGAAGCGTTGGCGTTTCCGCGCGGATGTCTTGGATCTGCGCAGGGGTCTCCAAGGCGTCCGACGCAGCTACATGGTTTCCGCGCGGGCCATTGGGCGTTCATGTTTATCGAATGGCCTTCGGCCAAACCCACCACCGTGCCTAGATAAGACGAGGCCAGGACGAGGATTACTTCGGGTGGGGATAGATCGAGAATCTCTAAGATTCGGCGGCTCTGGAGGACGTCTCGGGCGCCGCTGTCTCTCGGGGCCGAGGGCTCGAAATGTCCGTTCAAGCGACCCGTCTGGGCCCCCTGTCGGAGCCGTCTTGGGGCCGTCTTGGGGGCCTCTTGGGGCCGTCTTCGGGTCTTCTGGGGCGGTCTTGAGGCCCTTTGGAGGCCTCTCGGGTCGTCTTGGGGCGATCTTGGGGGCCTCTGAAGCCGTCTTGGGCGTCTTTCAGCGATCTTGCGGCGGCTCGGAGCCCTCTTGGACCAATCTGGCGGGGTCTCTCAGGGCCCTCTTGGCCTGTCTTCGGGCCCTCTTAGGCCCGAGAGGTCATGCGTCAAGACTCGATGCGCCCCAGAGGCGGCGCGACGCGCCCCAAGAGATTTGGCAAGTTTGGGTCCAGGCCCCTTCTAAGAATTGTCAAGATTGAACACGGGGGCCCCAATGGATCCAACAGGGGACCTCAGGATACTCCAACTCGTGCCTCAAGGGCACGGTGGCGGATCGTGTTTTCTTGTTGTTTTCATCGGTATCAGTTTCGCCCAGTTCGATCCGACCCGATTTTGATGCTCGGGCGATCCGGTGCGGCCTGGTGCTCGCACGGCGCTGCTGGCGGCTTGTCCGACTCGATCCAGACTCCATGCACAGATGCAATTCGATCTGGCGCACATTCCGATTGGAGCCGACTTCCCCATTCGATGCTGACGTGTCCTGCCTGCAACGCCGCCCAAGTTCGACTTTCGGACGTCCGTGCGCATTTCTTTGGTCGGCGCCACGCTCCTTGGCGGCGCCAGGAGAAGCCGCCCCTGGCGCGCTCCGCGCGGTGCCCTCTGAAAGGAACGCCTGCTGTCGCCCTGCCTTCTTTCGGAGGTGGATAGACCTCCTACCCTGACGCGTCGATTCATGAATTGGCGTGTTTCGCTTCGCGAGAGGGCGGCGCGGCCGTCGTTTTTACGGGTCCGGGTCCGTCGGTTTCGGTCCCAGGCCGTTTTCACTACGGGGAGGCCCACCAATGCGGGACGGGAAAATGACCACAGCCACTGCTTTTTGTTTGCGCCGCCTCCCAGCCGGCCGAAAAAGAAGCAGCGGTTGTGGTCATTTCTTTGGTGCCGAGCTCCACGACAGTGACCACAACCACTGCTCTGTTTCTGCGGGCTGGAAGGCGGCAACAAAAAGAAAAGCAGTGGCTGTGGTCGTTTTCACGCCCCGGGAGGCTTGTCCACCGCCGACTCTTCCGCACGTGGGCCTGGAGGAGGCGGGGCCCGAGGGCCGCACCGCACGGCCACATCGCTGGCGACCCGTCGGCGACGTCGGCACCGAGAAATCCCGGCCCCTCCCTCCTCCTTCTCCTCTTCCTCCACTTCCCCTCCTCCTCCTCTTCCTCCTCCTCCTCCTCGTCCTCCTCCTCCTCTTCCTCCTCCCTTTCCTCCTCCGCCCTCCTCCTCCTCCTCCTCCTCCTCCTCCTCCTCCTCCCGAAGTGCAAGCGCCTTTGGGGGAATGCATCTATCATTTTACGCCGCTCTTCTCGGAGGCCCTGGGTCGAGCCGCATCGCCGGCGCCACTTCAGAGGACCTGGCATCGCTCGGACGTGTGCATTTTTTTCTCGGCGAGGACCATCCAGGGCCATCCTGGACCATCGAGCAAAACAAAAACGCACGAAACCGAAACATGCACGGGAAATGGACGTCCGAGCGATGGCGAGAGGAGGGGAGCTACGTACCGATCCTCTGCCCTTTCCGTGCCGCCACGGCTGGATTCGCTGCATCATCCGGATCCAGCCACATCGCCGGCGCCACTCCAGAGGAGGGGAAGCTACGTACCGATCATCTGCCCTTCCCTTGTCGCCACGGCTGGGTTCGCTTCAAGATTCTGGTCAGAACGCACCCCTGGAGAGGTCTGGGGAGTAGCGGTATCGGCACCTCTTTGCCCCCCCCCATCATAGGCGATGCGGCGCGATCCTCGAACCCGCATCTGATCGGGCCCCGCGCGAGTTCAGCGCCGCAGGCAGGGCAATTTCCTGCCTGGTGGATCTTCTGCTCAAGATTTGTGCACGCAGGGGAGCTCGACGTTCGGAATCATGTTGCGTAGCTGGCATGTCGAAAACTCTGATTGCTGAATTCTGGGCATCTCGTGATTCGGTACTGCACGTGCGGCTCGAGGAGGGAAGCGTCACGGCAGAATTGAAAGGAGAGCAGTCTTGGAGGTTCGACATTCGAGGGACGAGGTCCCCGTGTCGTGCCTCATGCCCCCTCTTGGGCCTCGGGGAGCGCCCTCGCCGCTGCGGCCCCCCCCCCTGGACAGCTGCGGGGGGCTGACTGTTCATCCGCGATGGCTTCTGGGGGGAAAGGACTGCAAAGGCGTTTCGGGCTCCTGGGGTCCCCCTTTCCAAGAAGAGAAAACACCATATGCCTAAGCTCAGCTCTCCGCGCGGAGTTCTCGGATCTGCGCTGGCCCCCCCCGGCGGCCCCTCCGGCGCCGCCCCTGGCGCGCTCCGGGGGTCCAGCGCAAATCCAAGAAATCCGCGCGGAGCGCCAGCAGTTCGTGTTTATGTCGCTGTTTCGTCTTTTGTGACTTGGCCTCCAGACTGAAGGAGCGTCCCTGGAGTAGCACAAATCCAAGAAATCCGCGCGGAGCGCCAGCAGTTCGTGTTTTGTCGTTGTTTCTTCTTTTGTGACTTGGCCTCCAGACTGAAGGGGCGTCCCTGGAGTGCGAGAGTCGGGGCACAACACAAAACAAAGCACAACCACAACCACTGTAAGTGGATTTTTCTGGAGGGCGCCTCGAGGGATGACCCACCGACCTCGACAGAAGCATCTTGGTTGTGGTTGTGGTCGCTCTGGCCGTCTGTGACGCCCTCCATCGACCACAACCAGTAATTGTTAAGCTGGTTTCGGTGTCTTGACGATAGTTGGCATGCGCAAAGCATTCCGCAGGGTGCTGTCTCGATGTGGTTGTGGTCGCTTGATGCTCCCGCAGTGAAGCTGGGAAGACCTGGGGTTCAGGATTAGTTTGCACCAGGCGCCCTCTTCCTCATGCCAATTTTCTCGGTCGCCGACGCCGCAGTCTTGGCCTCCGTCGTCGAGGTTCGAGGGGTCGCGGCGTCGTCGTCGTCGTCGTCGAGGATCGCGCTGGCCCCTAGAGATGTCCCAAGGTCTCCCGATATCGCCGGAGACCTCCCCCCGAGGCTCCGGGACTGCTCCCGGACGTCTCGAAGGCCAGTGACACTTCTGCTCCTCCTCCTCCTCCTCCTCCTCCTCCTCCTCCTCCTCCTCCTCCTCCTCCTCCTCCTCCTCCTCCTCCTCCTCCACACTATCAAACCGCGCTCGAGAGACCTCGGTCGTCCTCCTCGGCCTCCCCGTCCGCAGCCCACCGCAGCCATTCGGGCTCCAGGCGCTCGGCCTTGCCTGGCCAAAGACTCCGTCTGCGGCCTGCCGCTTCCGCCGTCCTTCTAGGCCTCTCGGATGGGGTTGGAGTAGATCCCTAAGGGCTTGTCGACTTTTCGCCAATCGACTTGTGAGAATCGAGCCAGATATACCCAGGTAAATGCAGATAGATCGAGGTAAATCCAGGTAAATCTAGATAAATCTGGGTAGATCCAGGTAAATCCAGAGATCTCCAGGGAAAGTTCGAGCACTTCGCGGCCGCTCCAGCGCGAGTCGAAGGACGGCAGAAGTCGTTAAGCCTTTAACGAGTAGATGGGGTCGGAGGATCGCGCCTAATGCGTCGATGCCTCGCCGATGCGGCTCGATGTGAAGCCCGATCTGCTTCACGTCGACGTCGCCGGTGCATCTCCGACGTCGACGATGCATCGCTGCTGCATCGCCGATGCATCGCCGATGCATCGCCGATGCATTGCCGATGTATCGGCGATGAGGCGCGATCCTCGGACCCCATTTACTCGGACCCCATCTGGGAGGCCTCCAATCATGCTTTCGCGCGCCGTCAGAGGATCGTTCCGGCGACCGCTGCGGCGGGCTGTCTTGCGCACGGCAGCGGGCACTCCGCACAGCGATCTCGAGGCCAGGCCGGCGCTGTACGTGCGGCTGGGATTGGCGAGAGGTGCCTCGCTCTCGGAAGTCAAGCTGGCTTTCTATCGGCTCGCCAAGGATTGCCATCCAGATCTGCATGGCGACGATCCCGCCATGGTCCAACGGTTCAGGGATCTTGCGGATGCTTACGATGTGCTGAGCGATCCAGAGGCCCGGCAGAAGTACGATGCCAGCGGAGATTACCACACTGAGGGTACTGGTACAAGCTCGGGTCGAAGATGGAGGCCTGGCGATGGCTACAGTGCCGAGGAGATGGAGGGGCACAACACCCGGTGGGCGACGGTGTTGCGGGAGCGCGAAGTTTTGCACCAGGCTCGAGAGGAGTACTCGAATGGCCATCCGCCCATCCCGCCACCGTGCCTGGGTTGTGGTTTGAGTTTCAGGGCTGCTTCATCTTGGGGGCAGTTTTAGAGCCTGTTGGGACTCTTTCGGGAGGGCTCTTGGGGGCCTCTTGGAGCTTTTTGTGGGCCTCTTGGGGCTTCTTGGCGGCCTTTTGGGGCTTCCTGGGGACCCCTTGGGACCGAGGGCTCGAAATGTTTGTTCGGGTCCCCTATCTATCCCCCCTCTTGGAGCCGTATTTGGGACCTCTTGGGCCGCCTTGAGCGCCTCTCGGGCCGTCTTGGGACTGTCGGGGAGCGTCGGGAAGCCGAAAAGGCGAGAAAGCCAA